GTAACGGGAGCGCAATACATCGGACTTTGTCGTTAGGAGGCATCGAGTAAATCCTTGAGAGGCCAACCCTTCAATTACATTTTCACATAAATTTATAAGTGGAGGGGCGTTAGAGATCAGAAAACCATACCTATGACCTTGTCAATAGTGATTTTTAATTGTTATTTCTTTGCTCTATTTATTTCCAGAGTAAAAATAAGAAGACAGTCAAGAAGAAAACTGCAAAGGATGGTTTGTACTATTTTTTTCATGTTACATTTATTTTTACCCTCTTTACTGACTGCGTTGTTGCTGCACTTATGAATAGAGTGTGCAACTGGGGTGCACATGCCACTGCACACTTCTTAGTGTACAACTGAACATTTGCATTTAAGGTGGGAAATACCCATTGAACGTTAGAATTTAGCCTGTTTTCACTACTGTTCAAAAACATCTAAAAATGACTAAATTGGGCTAATGTGAGGTCTCCCTTCATTGCTTCAACGTTCTTATAATTTTTAAAGCATCAGAGAGACCACTGGAGCCTCTGGAAATTGTTTACATTTGAAGAGTTCTTGCTTGTGGGATTTCTACTTTCACATCTTGCGCGCAACTTTTCTTTGGAACTTTTTGGCTAAGAAACCTGGGTGTGTTTTCAGTGTGCATGTGCTTCTCTTAGGAAATAGTCTCATTAATAATTTATTATGATATGTAGTAGTAATCTGCTTTTCCACACCGTTTATTTTGTGCTTCTCATTTATATAGGCAGTGTTTTGGGATTGTTGATGAGGAACATATCATTGCTATGTTAAACAGTAACATCTCTGTGTAATGGCATTGTTGTAATGTGAACTGCTGCCCCTTACTTTCAACATTTGTTTGATGTTCCTTTTATGCACCAAGAGGGGACGCCCCATAGGCTCTGTGATGCAAGTGCCAAGCAAGATGCTGTGAAGAAAGCTGCTGCTGCTGCTGCAGAAGCTGCCGCTGCTGCCGCTGGCAGCAGCAGTCAAAATAACCGTAAGTTCCAATCATATTTTGTAATTTTAACAGCATGCATACATGTTTTTAATGCTTGCAAACCTTTACCATCAGGATCTCCTGATTGCAGCTCGGATGAGGTATGTGGTATGTTCATTTCAGCACTAGAAAACAATTCCCACTTGGAATGTTTATATCGCTGCCATTGTTTGGAATAAGGTGATAATGGTGGATTTAGAGACCCGTTGCCTCACGGTGGGGCGGCCTCACTGAGATCGCGTGCCTCAGAGGTTTTCAGCCAATCACAGTCCTCAAAAACCTCTGAGGCACGCGATCTCAGTGAGGCCGCCTCACCGTGAGGCAACGGGTCGCACGAGACTAAATCCACCATAACTGACAAATCATCAGTTTCTGAAAGCAACAAAGACTGTTTCACACCAGTAATTTCATAAAGATATGAAATACTATTTACTGTTCTTTTTCCATAAAGAATTATAGGATCACCAGAGTGATGTTTCGTTGTTCCCTCTATGCTTGAGAGGGATGTCTCACGTTAAAGGTTGCTATACAAAGGACAAGTCGAGTGTTTGGGAATTATTCCATGGAAATTGGACAAGTTTTTTTGTCTTTCATTTGATAATCTCAGGAAATATAACATGTATAATACACCAATATTTTCTGGCATTGTGCGTTGTGTGCTGGAGATTAGCAGACCCCTTAAAATCTCTCCTTCCGTTTCACAGACCAGTCAGAGACGTAACTTAGCCGTGATAATAACAATGAAAAAATTTATCACTCGTGGGATCAGAGGTATTCTGTTTTACTTGCTCACAGTAAACACTTTTTATTTGTTTTAGGGACCCCAAAAGCCAACAAGAAGAAGCAGCCGCCTCCTTCAAAGGAAAAAGAAAGAGCACAAGAGAAGTCCAAGCCAGCGACACGTTCCTCCACAAGAAGAAACTAAGGTATTCATCTCAGTTACCATGAAATGAAATTTGCCATCTCAGAGACCTCTGCAGATTTTTTTATAGGGAACTTGAAGTACCTGATTAGAAACCTAAAGAAAACACCCAACTCTGTAACTCAAACCATTCCTGAGTTAAAGTTGGTTAAAACATTTTGTACATATGCTCACCTCATAAACTCCATGCGCTCCAAATTTTACACTGAAGGATTTGGTTGCGAAAATATATTACCAGGAGGGTCTAAATAACAAGAATTTTATTGAATGCACTTTTTGAATTTCAATATTTCTTCTTTATTTTTATATTGCACGATTTCAATGTTTCTAAATTTTCTACTTGGGCCGTTTTTGGTCAACAAGAATAATTATTTCTTCCTTAAGTTGAAATGTTAAAATAAATGATAATAGTTTTTTCTTCTTGATTTGAAGATAGAAAAATTTTCCTGACCCCCGTATATCAAAAAGTAAAGGGCAAGGAACTTTTTTGGCTCATAATATTTTTTGTAGATTTTTAACCTTTCCAATTCTTTTGTACGCGTTTAGTTTAGTTGGTTGAGTGCCACTTAAATTTAACAGCCTGAAAACAATTATAAGAAAATCAAGTAAATCAGGTTATGGTCTTTGATTTAAAACCGTTCTGGGAGTTAAACGTTCAAATGCATACCATTTCTAAAATTTGTTTCTTGTCCTATTAAGCGTATTACTTTCTTTTTCAGGAGTACAAGCACTACAATTATTGGCAGGAGGACCCTTTTTTCAGGAATCCTGACTTTATTGAGGGGGTAGGTGAAGGTCAGGGCTCAGATGTTCCACAAGAGCAGGGAGAATACGAAAATGTCGAAGTCACTGTTAAAAATGTTATTAAAATTCATAACATTTTTGTTATTAAATTTAATAACAATGTTAGTGTTAATGCTTCACAAAAGTGTTATTAAATTAAAGAGAAAAATTTTTAACAGTGTATATTTGGAAGACCACCCTCCCTTAGATGAATCTCAAGATCAGGTACACTATGAAGATATTCAAATTAATTTAGAAGAACCCCCTGAACCTCCAGAACAGCAAACCCAAAATTTCAATTCAGAAGAACCTCCTGGCCACCAAGAACCACCCTCCGCAGCACCACTGGTGGACTTTGAAGATGACTAACAGCAGCCAAGGACACTCAACAAGGACTCAGGACCAGTTCCAGATAAAGTAAAGCTAAGTATTTTAAAAGACCAGAGGTTAAAAGTGATAAGATAGGTTGGTTAGACACTGGTGTCATAGTTATGGTGAATAGTTATGTTAGGAGACACCCAGACAGGTTGAATCCAACAGTGTACAACTTCAGGATGAAGTTCAACTCAAATACTGTACAGGAAAACGTTTGTTTCAGTGAACCATCACTCCTTTTGGACCACGGAATCATCACAATCTCCAGAGATGCCCAGGAGTCTTCAAGGAAACAACGATCTCAACAAGATTTAATCAAAATATAATCAGACGGATCTCCCGAGTCTGACTCTGTGAACAGGAACCATTATTACCGCCAATTCCAAGTGTAATGGTCTGAACATAAGTCAAGGCTACTCTGGTAATGTCAGAGAGGAGCTGAAGTCAAACTTTCTTTTTGTTTGCACACTGAGTATGGACTAGTAGGGTTGAATAACCCGTAGGTTCAGTACAAGGTGGAAGTTTCAGGTTGTCAACGGTTTTATTAGCTTAAAAATTTGTAAAGTGTCATGGCAGGGCGTGCGCGTAAAAGGGAGGCTGTTTAAAGAGGGAGTAATGTAGTATTATGAGGTTTGGATAAACCTCCCATAGAAAACCATAACCTCAGCTGTCAAACCAATCATAATATAGCAGACGTCTGCAGCTGTTTGGTCACGGCCTACTCGACTCTTACCCTTCGGTGGAGCCACCTTCGAACCCATACCTGACACTAACTCCTAGCATTGTTTTACGATCAACACGTTATTGTGCGCCGCAAGGCGTGGGATCTTGAATAAAAGCCAGCTGGAGCCCAGAGCTCTTCGCCACACTTCCATTTGACTTTGACTTGTAATCACTCAGACTTGGCTCGGCACAGCCAAGCGCCCAATACTACAATATACACTCGTCAAAACATTTAGCGGTCCACTTTTTTACGCGTGGATTAAATTATCTCCCCTAGCACCTAG